CCTAGAACCACCTCCTCCCCTTCCTTAGTCCAATTCCAGGCCCTTAATACCCTTCATACTGTTTTTTGTATCATGTCCAAATGAATACCCTTAATACAGTCTTCTCTATAATGTCCAAATGTGGCTTCCCATGAGCTGGCAACTCAACCTGTGGACAAAAAGACACGTTATCTTTCTTGTCCATCTCGACCCAGTATTCAGGGATGAAGTAGGGACACTTTCCACAATAACTCTGTTCACAACAACCAACACTTCTATTCATAAGAAGAAAGAATGAGAGATACAGCTCACTGGATTAAGCAATGATGAAACCCTACTGATCAAACTTTATGAAATCTTTTTCCAAGCCAGTGAAGAAAGTTCCCTGATTAGATGCTGATTCTTCTCCCTAGGGGGAACATTCTTCCCTTGTCCATTGTTCTCCATGGCTCCTGGCTCTATCGTCTGGAAAGTTTTTCCTTATCCATTATCTTCCATAACCACACTCAAGGTGGATGTTGGAGAGTCATCCTCCTAGGTGTTGTACAGGTTTAGTAGTCTATTTTCTGCTCATCAAGTTGAGGCCCAAAGTCATTTTTAGTCTGGTTTCCTAGTTTCTTTGACAATCAGTTCTTTCATATATTTCCATTTAGTTCTTAGTGCCTATAAACATGTTCAAAGTTTTTTCTTATTCATAATGTTTAATCCTGTTTTTTTGTTGTTGTTGTTTTTGCTTTCTTATAACTTAGTGATCCTACCATGATAACTACCTGAGATAGAAGACCTAGATGGGAAGACCATACCCTAAAATATGTCTTTGCCTCAGAATCCAGTTTCAATGAACCTTTCTTTTTCAAAACCATCTTATCTCTTACTATGTGGGATGAGGAAGCAATAGACCTTTACATACAATTGAGGTAAAAATTTCTGGACTTTCTCCATTCCCTTTTTGCAAAAACTCCATCTCTTTAACATCTACAAAGAGAAAGCCAATCCTCTTAACATTCTGGTCCTTTGTAAACCTTTCCCTTAGAGAAGGGGCTGGTAAAATTTTTCTGTAAAGTTTCAAATTATAAAGATTTTATTTACATTGTAGGCCATATGGTCTTTGAATTCTGCTTTTGTAGTACAAAAGCAATCATAGACAATATATTTAAAAATTAGTATGGCTGTATTCCAGTAAATTTTGTTAAAAAAAATAGTAATAAAAAGGTAATGGGCCAGATTTAGCCTTCAGGGCATAATTTGCTGACCCTGCTATAAAGCTAAGCTAAGGTATGTGGCCAGTCTTCATGTTTTCCCAGGTGAAAGTTGTCCTTTTTTTTTTTTTTGTCTTAGGTGGAGTCTCACTCTGTTCCCCAGGCTGGAGTGCAGTTGTGTGATCTGGGCTTACTGCAACCTCTGCCTCCTGGGTTCAAGCGATTTTCATCCCTCAGCCTTCCTAGTAGCTGGATTACAGGTGTGCACCACCACACCTGGCTAATTTTTTGTATTTTTAGTAGAGACAGGGTTTTGCAATAGTGGCCAGACTTGTCTCGAAACTCTGGCCTCAGGTAATCTGCCCCCCTCGGCCTCCCAAAGCACTGGGATTATAGGCATGAGCCACCACTTCTGGCCGAAAAGTGTATTCTTGAGAAATAACAAAATTCTAAACCTCTAACAGACTAAATAGACTCTTCTCTTGGCCAAGGGGACCCCATAGAAAACTTAGAAGCTGAGTTCATGGCATGATGGGATGGGAGGTCAGAAAGGCCTCATGATATTTCTTCCTATCTATTAGGCTTTCTCCCCTAAGGGCTAACTAGACACCAGCTTTTTCAAAATATTCCATACTGATAACATCTACTAGTTTATCTTCCCAGGTACAGAACAAAGAGAAGATGAGAGTAATTATTACTTCACTTTACTCTGAGATGTCTGCTTCCTCCATTTCTGTTTTCTTTGTTGACCTTATTTTATATAAAGTGTAGAATGACCGAGTACTAACTAAAGTCTCACAAGTATGTAATCATTTATCTAATTCCCATGTCCACCCCTCTATCTTTGTAAAGAAAAATGTATCAATTTTAATCCTCTTGAGAACCTCTTTGGAAAAAACAGTCATAAATGTGTCTGTTACTTGAGGTTTTCCTGGATTCATTCTCAAGCAGGCACAATAAACTTTGGTGACTGAGATTTGTCTCTCAGTCACTTATTTTGGTTGCCACTCTGAAGATTACTTTTCTTTCCCCTGTTGTACAACCACTAAGCCGACGCCATATGTGCTAAGCTGTTCATTAATTCAACATTCCACTTCCAGTATCAATATACGTAAATTAAAATAATGCATTTTTTAAAACGAATAAACCCACAAATGTCAGTGACTTAGAAGTTTACTGTGTTGATGCAGAGTCCATACAACTGCTATAAGGGGTTGTTGATGCTGGACACACTGCTCCATGGAGACATTCGGGGATCCAGGTTGACAATGGTTCTGTGATCATCAACACAAAGCTTCCAAGGTCACCCTCAGTATTGACATCCAGCATATGGAGGAAACGAATAGATGATCACTTATGAGAGGATTTTATGGGCCAGATGTGAAAATATGTGCAGTACTTCTGCTCACATTCCATCAGCTGGAACATAGATACAACTCGACTGCAAGGAAGGTGGAAAATGTTGTTCAGCTTTGTAGTCAGGAAGACATAGGCGCATATCTTGGTAAGTAGATTTGAATTCTCCACTTTGTCACTAAATGCATATTAATGACTTGAAGCTTCACACACTAGCCGTGTGACTTTAGACTAGCCTCAGGGCCCATTTCACTTTTCTTACATTAGGCATAAAATCTAGATTAAATGTACAATGCATAAAGAGATACCTTGTTAGCTGTCAACTAGTAAGCACTGAACACGCTTACAGGAATATAGTAAACACCTGTACGGCCTTCTCCCAGTTTTATATATATTAACATCTTACCATGTTTGTAAGAAATAAAGCATTATAAAGACAGTTTGAGGCTCTCTGGTTACTTTTCCACAGTTCCTTTTCTCCTTCATCTTCCTCACTACCATGAATTCTGTGTTTATTATTCTTATGTACTGGCTTCAATGTTTTTGTGATTCAAGTGCTGCTGACTTACTGACAGTTTCCAATTACAGTCTGCTAAATCTCTCATGGGATGAATGGCATGGTATTCTGGTTAAAGCATTTCAGAAATGGAAGGTTCCCAATCCTTCAATCCTCAAAACTAGGTTCCCCAACCCTTGGCAAGGGGAAGAGGTATGAAGTTAAATAATCAGAGGTCAGACCACGATAGGCCTCATGTTTCAGCTAAGAATTAAGATTTTTTTTTTTTTCCTGAAAACAACTGGAAATCTAATTTATTGGCATGGTCAAAGTTGTGGTTTAAACATACAATTCTTAAAGTCATATGAGGACTTCCCAGAGACAGGAGACATCCCCCATAGTGCTGGAGAGGGATTATCGGACTTCAACTAAAATGGCAGCACATGGATATGGAACTTTTCTTGGCCTAGACCTAGAGGGTTCTCAGGTTTTCATTCTTGCTGCTTCAGAAAGGAGTGTACTCCCATTTGGCATGGGAGTGCCATCAGAAGAAACTTCTGCTTTTTGCTAGTGGCCCTTTGAGCTAAATGGTAAAGAGGCCTTTCTTCATGAGGATTATAGCACTGTTGGACTCCTAAGTGCTTTACATGCATTATATTTTTTAATCTGCACAGCAACTATGTGAGATAGTTACCATTTTTACTCTATTTTAAAAGTGAGAAAAGTGAGATCCAGAGAGGTTAACTAGCTTGCTCAGACCAGGAAGAATATATGCTGGGTTGTCCTTAACTTAAATCTGACTTTACCAATTCACTGCATTCTCTCTCTCAAGGGATAACCGTCACCTAATCTTTACTGAGGAATTGCTATGTGCCAAGTACTGTTCTAAACCCCTTATATCTGTTATTCCATTAATCATGAACACAACCCTCTGAAGCAAGAAATATTATTGTCCCCATTTTACAGTTGAGGAAACTGAGATCCAGAGATTTTAAGTAACTTGTTCAAGATGACACATCTGGTTAAGATGACTGAGACAACATGAATCTAAAGCCATTGCCCTCTACCGTCTCTAATGTGAAGGTTTATTATTTTGATCTACAAAACTACAGGAAGAAGGAAAAGGCTATAATTAAACATTGTTATTATATATTGTTATTAAACATTATTATTATATTAAACATTAATGATATTAAGCATTATTAAACATTATTATTATAGCCCTAATGTTGCTATAAGCTACACCCAATACCAGATTAGAATGGACAGAGCTGATTATTATAACAATATCTATAGTTTTTCTTCAATCCTTACCAAAATACTTCTTATTATGATAGAGTAGTCAAAGGAGAGCTGGGTTGAGCAAGGAGGCTAGGGTTCTAATCCTGGCTCTGCCACGAACAGTGTTTGTGATTTCTTTGGTCTGAATGTTTATGTTCCTCCAAGATTCATGTTGAATCCTGATCCTTACTGTGGTGGTATTAAGAAGTGGGGCCTTAGGAGGTGATTGAATCATAAAAATGAAGTTCTTATGTATGAGATTAGTACTCTTATAAAAGATGCTTGAGGGAGCTTTCTGCTGTTTCTACCATGTGAGGATGCAGCAAGAAAGCACCATCGTTGAAATGGGGAGCAGGCCCTCCCTTACTAGACAACAAATATGCTTCTCCTTGACCTTGGACTTCCCAGTCAACAGACTGTGAGCAATAAATTTCTGTTGTTTGTAAATTACCCAGTCTAATGTAGTCTGTCATAGCAGCCCAAAAGGACTAAGATACTGGTCTTGGGTAGGTCACTTGACATTATTGGGCTCTAATTTTTTCATCTCAAAAATTCAAGAAGTAAACTAGAGAAACTCTAGTGTCCCCACCCACTCTGTGATTCTTTCTATGCCTTTTTTCTCTCCCATTACATCAAAAAATGACTTCAAGAAATGACAGGAAATTTAAGTGACAAAACACTTTTGGAAATCCAACAAGATTATTTTTAGTATCTCCAAAGATGAAGAAAGGTAATTTTTGTAGAAGCACTGGGAATTATATTTTAAGATTTCATTCTGCTAATGTTATAAAATACACAATGTCTAAGTCATCTGTTTGTACATAATCCAAATCTATGACTCTGGTGGCCAGCATCTTTATTTAAAAAATAAGATTTAAATAAATTAGTTAATATGAGTGTGAAACTAAGTACATAACTAAGATGGTTAACATCTTTAAAAGAAATCAACTCATGAAATAGTTAATACATAACCTTTTGAAAGAAATCACAGATTTGGGAGAACATGGATAGATGAAAGAGAAGACTGATATAGATAGGATCCTAGAAAACAGCAGTTTCCCCTATCCCCATGGCTAATTCTTTCTAAAGGAGCTATTTCTTTATACAAATATATTTGTAGACAAGTTAAATACATTTATTCAAACCTACTTTCAAATCCTTTGTCATTCCAAAGAATTGGATCCTAGGGAGGGAAGAATGAGATTGTTATTTTTTTGTTTTTTTTCCCTTTATCTCAAAAAGGAGTTTTGCAGGAGCCTAGTAACATATGATCAATTTGTTTAAGTAATGAATAGAGGCAGGCTGATTTCCGCAGCCCCAGATTAAAATTTCTTGCCTTAACTAATAGGCTTGGTAGTGACAGCTGGGAAATCCTAAGCTGTGTTACTCCCCATCTGTACTGAACAATTCAGAGACATACATCATGCTCAATACTCCATGTGTCGGAGGGAAGCCTGGGTAGAACTCATGCCACTACTTTCACGGGACTGGTGTGGCTGGGGGCAGCCTCATCAGCTTACCTCAAACATCTTCTTCCAGCATTTTCCTACGTTTGACCTTTCTGATCTAAAGAAGCCATTATGGTGTTTCTCACTAAGTTCCAGGCAGAGTGCTAGGCATTGAGGCTACAATGCTCAAGAAGATGCTGACTTGCTCTAGAGGGCCCAAGAGTCTACCAGAAGACTGCTACAGTTAGTTCTTTCACCTACTCCCATGATGGCTTCCTCCTTCTAGGCTTATGTTTACCCCTTTCTAAGAGAAAGGCATTGTCTCAGAAGACTTCTAAGATTTTTCAGGAAGAAACCATGCACAAGTCTGTGAGTTACGGCTGAATAAACCTTATGAAACCAGACCTAGGAATACAGAGCTGAATGGTGATAGAGTCCTGGCCCCAGCACTCTCAGATCCCGGAGTTCCCTCTGCCTGTAGACCAGGGATCCCTAGAGTCTGACAATCCCCTGGTCCGGTTTGCACCCTGGGCACATTGCACACACACAGACTTTTTGAATATATGGGTCCTGCAGGACAAGGGTAGGTGGCCGAAAATATCATCTGTCCTTTATTCTTTCATTTCACTGAAGGAGCAGTAGTCGGGTCCCAGGCCTTGCATTGTGCAGTCAGTAATGTCACTGTCACACTTGCCACAGTGACACTGGGTGGCCACTGGGTACGTATACAAGGAGTCTGCATGGTGAGCACAGCCGGGCACTCTCACTGTCTCGTACACCAGTTCCTTGAAGGTACATGTTGTCTGGATGTTGGGCATGGCTGGGTCCTTAAACACCAAATCCTGAGGAGTTTAAGAAGAGAGTTAGGTTATGGTACTGTGGAAGATCCTATTTAGCTCGGTCAAAATGAGATAGAAATTGAATACTCCTTGCTCTAACCTTTACCCATTAAACCATGACATCATAACTACATTTCCAAATTGTTCTTGAAATCTTACATAAAATATAAGTAATTCCTTTTCTTCCTATGACTATACCAAAATATTAGTTATTTTTCAAAATATAAACTAACTTTGAATTTTAACATAGAAAAATGATGAAAAAACATGACAGAATTTTAAGTTGAATTTTCATATTTAATTGAAAGCTATATAAATGACAACTTAAACCATACACAAAGATGTCCAATGTCACAGGAAAAATATTTTAAAACACACTGTATGATGTATTTATAAAAGGTCAAAAATATATGATTTTAAATGTTAATGCTTAGTTTAACATGTTTGCTAACCCTCACATAAGATTTTAAATATTCCAATTATTTGTAGACATTTTTCTCAGTTAAAAACCATATACTTTGGAGGGTTCTTAGTTTTAAAGGATATGCAGTTTGCATATAAGAACTTTTAATCCAGCTAGAAATTATTTGTTGTAGCAGTTACCAGTGGAAAAATTATTTGCACTGCAGAAGTAAATTTGGGCTGCTGTTTTATTTTAATATCATTCTATCAAGTGTATATCCCAAGAAGGTGCAACAAATTGTGTAATAAATGGAGTTTGATCAAACTTATTTACCATCAAATAAAGTATCTTTGATTTAAAAAGTTGCCATTTTCAATTTTAGTTAAAGAATGAAATTCTTCTGCATAGATAGCTAGGTGCTGCAGGGAAAAAAGAAAGCACCATGGAAACTATTTCTTTACTTGAATTAGTGCAAGGAAACTGTGCAAACGCAGACTAGCAACTGATGCCTCTGTGTCTTAATTTTCTCAATGCTGTAACGAAGGGAGTGGGTTTGCTGATTCATTTTTGTTCTAACAGTCTGCAAGAAATTGATTGTGTTCTCAGGCTGTTCGTTGGCATTTGTATTTAGGAGGGCCAGGAAGACAGTTTTTATAATGTGACTGTCTGTGTTTTTATGTTACTTGGAAACATATTTTGGTACTATTTTTGTGTCAAAGATGTAGCATCAGTTAAAGAAATTGCCTTTTTGAGAACATTGTAGGTCCTTTATGATTAAATATATGTATGTTTCAATGTTTATCCCTCTATATGTAAAAACATAACATAGAAATACTTTTTTTCCTATAAATGCAAAGTTGTGCTGTTACCAAATCGATCAGATTAAATCTGAGGCTTTTCTAAATTTACCCAAATCAAATCCAAGCCCAAACATCTAACTGATATCATGGTCATTAACCCCAATCACAACACAGACAATATTGCCTAAAGGACTCATGACTGTTGCTTAGAATACATAAAATATTGATAAAGTAGAAACTAATGAAACCTGCCTCATACAGAGCTTCAGCATCCTTACTTTCAGCAAAGCACAATACCTACCCTGGTGTAACAGTAGCCAGCACACCAAGTGGTGTTGATGCTTATGCAGAAACGACATTCTTCGTTCTCTATTGCAATGGTGATGTTGGTCAGCTCACAGCTATTGCAGCACATTGCTTTCCAGCAGCAGAAAAGGAAGCAAAGCTGGACTGTCTTCATCCTGATCTGGGAAGCAAACAATTAAGCCCATTAGAAACTGAGAAAACAAAGAGTGATAATCATTATGTAAGCTGACCAAACCAGAAATCATTGGTCTGCTCATCCTCCTCAATCACATTTTGCTTCAACAAGGTTTTTTTCCTTCCTTATGCCTTTCTACTTACATCTTTGTTTCTTGGAACAACATTTTTCCTTGTCCTTCATTTTTTTTTTGGTTCAGGGTGGGAATAGATTATAGATCAAAACTCTAATATAATATTTAAGCAGAGGAGTATTTAAAGATTAGAATCTTATTACTGTCATAAAGTGATTACTCTGAAGTAAGTAATTGTGATCATCATATCTCTTCCACCATTATTTTAAAGACTATTTTTGTCTGAAAAGAAAAATAGAATTCTTTTCTTTTCTTGAGACAGGGTCTTGCTCTGTTGCCCAGGCTGGAGTGCAGGGGTATGATCATGACTCACCGCAGCCTCAACCTCCCAGACTCAGGCAGTCCCTTGACATTGGCCTCCCAAAGTATTGGGATTACAGGCATCAGCCACCACGCCTGGCCAAGAAAATTCTATACTACAAAATTATGTCTTCATTTTAAGAATCTCATAAATATTTGCTTTTGCCCACATTTGTTTAAAATAAGACTATTTCAGAAGTGAGGCATATTGGTCTATAAAGTCAGCTGCTTGCTAACAGAGATTACAGTATATTAACCATATTTTACAATTGTTGTAAAATTTTACAAGCTAGGTTAACAAACATAAATTTCCTACACAACAGTAGTGAAAAGCTCTAGTTTTGTCCTCCAGGTCCTGAGAAATCTGTAATTTCAAAAGTAGCTGTCACCACTTGCATACCGTAGATGCGAAGACTCACCTGTGGTCGACTGCCTTGCCTGGGAAGAGCTGTAGTCTGAGTGAAATCTCAGTTCACCTTTTATACAAAACTATGTGAAACTAACACCTTGTGGATTTTCTGGGTATTAATATGGTCAATGCTAGCCTGAAGCTTGCTGTAAGTGAATCACTGTTTAGATAGACAGGGAGATCAAGCTTTGCTAAAGTAGTCTAAACGCAGTAGATTAGAAATAATAATGTTACCAGAGATGATGATTTTGTACAAATTAAATTTGATACAGTAGAACACCCACTGCTTTACCTTGTCAAATTAAATGTGACTCCAGATTTTTCTTTTGTATCTTTAATTCAGGAAATTCAGTGTCCCTTCCAAGTATTGCTTTGACCCTGTTGATGAGATGCATTAAAAAATGTGTTTAATAAATTGTTTCAAGAGTCTATCAAAACCTATAAAGAAAGAAACAAACAAAAAGAAAGCATTTCATGATCTGGCTCCTGTCTAAAGTGTGAACTGCCTCTCTCTTTCCCTCCCACATTCTGGTCCTCTAATCTCAATTCTTTCGTTTTTGATGTTTTAGCAAGAACTTTCTACTTTACTGGTAATTCCATAAATATGTTGCTGATTCATTTCTTTAGATCTTTGCACGTAATGTTCTTTCTTTCTGAAATGTCCTTGCCTCCTCACTGCCTCCTCCAACACTACCCTGAACCCTGGCAAATTCCCCAACCTTCAACATCCAGGGGAATTTCACCTGTCAAAGTTTAGGATAGGAGATGAGGGAGAACTATAATCGCTGCCTTTGGTGTATAACTATTTATATGCTCTTGTTTCTTCCAACAAACTTTATTTCCTTGGAGACTAGGATTGCTTTGTTTAATAAATATTTATTAATCAAACAGTGTGACTGGAGCAAAAGGACAACAGCAGTAATATTATTATATGATGTCAGAGAGATAACAGGAGTTAAATAATATAGGACCTTGTAGGCCAATGTAAGGACTCTAGTTTGTACTCTATGTGTAATGGGACCCACTGAAGGATTTTAAGTAGAGGAGTGACATGATCTGATTTAGGTCTAAAAGGATTCCTCTGACTGCTATGTTGCTAATGTAGGGGAACAAAGAAACAGGAAGACCTGTTGGGATGCTATCAATAACCCAGGTGAGAAAAGACATTTGTTCAGATTAGTGTGGTAGGAATGGAGGTAATGAGACCTCTTGATGATTGTTGATGTGTTTTGGAAGTAGAACCTACAACATTTTCTGATGGATAAATCTTGAGTGTGAGAGGAGGAAAAGAGCCAAGGATGGCTCTAAAGATTCTGATTTGAGTTGCTGGAAGGATAAACTTGCTATCAGCTGAAAGGGGATGGCTGTAGATATAGAAGTTTGGGGAAAGGAAATGGAGTTCAGTATGCATGTGTTGAGCTTGAGGTATTTGTACTACATCAAGGAGATAATGAAGTTTCTTTTTCTTCTTTCCAAAGAAGACGGAGGAGGGCTATTGAGGAAGGTAGGAAAGGGGGAATATGGTGTCCCAGAAGCCAAGAGAGCATCTCAGAGAGGAAACAGTGACACCTGTGTTAGATACTGCTGACAAGTAAGATGAGGATCAAGAATTGTACAATGCATATGTGATGTAAAGATCACTACTGTCCTTGGCTATATAAGTTACTTTGGAATGATGGAAACAAAAACCTGGTTAATGTGCATCAAAGTGATTTGGAAGAGATAAGTCATAGTGAAATATAGACAACTTTTTCCAAGAGCTTTTTGTCTTTACAAAGATTAACAAAGAAATGGGTGTTTGGGTGATGTGTATGTTGGGTAAAGATAATTTTCTTTTGTTTTATTTTTATTTTTTTATTTTTTGAGACAGAGTTTCTCACTCTGTCGCCCAGCCTGGAGTGCAGTGGTGCAATCTCAGCTCACTGCAACCTCTGCCTCCTGGGTTTAAGCCATTCTTCAGCCTCAGCTTCCCAAGTAGCTGGGACTACAGGCAGGTGCCACCATGCCTGGCTAATTTTTGTATTTTTAGTAGAGATGGGGTTTCACCATGTTGTCCAGGCTGGTCTCAAACTCCTGACCTTAAGTCTTCCACTTCCCTTGGCCTCCCAAAGTGCTGGGATTACAGGCATGAGCCACCCCCACCTGGCCGCAGATAATTTTCTTTTGATTTTTCACTTTATGGTGAGAGAAATAAACGCATTTGTATGGTGATGGGAATGATTGAGTGAAGTAAAAGAAGGTGGTATTAGAAGTAGAGAGGAGGACCGGGCATGTTGGCTCGTGCCTGTAATCTCAGCACTTTGGGAGGCCAAGGTGGGAGGGTCATGAGATCAAGAGATTGAGACCATCCTGGCCAACATGGTGAAATCTCATCTCTACTAAAAATACAAAAATTAGCTGGGCATGGTGGTGAGTGCCTGTAGTACCAGCTACTCAGCAGACTGAGGCAGGAGAATCGCTTGAACCCAGGAAGCAGAGGTTGCAGTGAGCCGAGATTGCTCCACTGAACTCCAACCTGGCGACTTAAAAAAAAAAAAAAAAGGAGAAAGGAGAATTTCTGGAGTGTTCTTAAAGAGGTAAAAGGAGATAGGTTATAGAACACATAGAAGAGGAGTGGAGGCATTATCTTATCTTTAGGGAGAAGCATAGAGAGCTCATCCTATATTAGGCAGAAAGGCAGAGCTTGATGGTGCAGATGCTGGTTAGTAGGCAGGTGTGATGGGTGCAGTCACTGGGGAGTGGGGAGGGATGGTAGGTGCAGATGCTCATGGGTGGAGAGGTGGTGAGGGAAGATGCTGGTAGGTGGGGAAATGTGGTGGGTGCAGATGCTGGTGGATGGGGAGGATTGATGGGTGCAGATGGTGGTGGCTGGAAGGTATAGTGAGTGTACGTGGTGGTGGGGGGGAGGTGTGGTGGGTGTAGATGCTTGTAGGTTGAGAGGGGTGGTTGCTATAGATAATGGTGGGTGGGGTGGGGTGGTGGGTGCAGGTGCTGGTGGGTAGAGGAAGGTGGTGGGTACAGATCTGTACCTACCGCATTTTGCCTGTTAACAGCAGGGGTTCAGCAGGGTGACCAAAAGTTGGATTCATCTAGGATTCTGTTTTTGTAAAATGTGTTTGACAAAGATAAAACTTAGCATAGCAGTAGACATTGTAAGCACTAAATCAATATTTATGTAAATGAATATTGTGAGTGTAGAAATATTTTGAAATCTGTCAGTAAATAAGCAAGCATATTTCTGAGTTATAGAATGAATAATTTTATATTTTAATATATATATTAAATAAAAATACTAGTGATTCTTAGAAAATTATAAATCCTTTCAATTTTTCCAAAGGAATGCAAACATTATTATATCTTTGGTAATACCTTGTATTATGAAACAAAGCTTTTCATATCACCTATGTATAATCACAAGATTTGTGTGAATGTAAATGAACTACTTTGTTTTAATGACTAATGTGTATATAGTATTAGTTCCTTAAATTCATTTTTAAAATATTAATAGGTTGTTTTTAATTGAGTACCTCCTATGTCCCAGGTGAAATTGCTTTTGCAAAGGCTATGACAGTGAGATAAATCTAGCATGGCTAACTCTACCTTGCCTCTAGCCTCACAGGCTGGCTGTCCTCACTCATTCCTGGGCATAGGCCAAGCTAACCATGGGAGGAATTTAGCTTATAGTTTAAGTGAAGCAAGGATAATAGTCCTACCCTAAAACTAACCCCCTCCTTGTTCAGTGACTGAAAATGGCCTTTCCAAACAAATGACATGCTATGAGATTAGGATTATGGGAGGGACCTGAATTCTGATAATGTATAGGCATAGTTCTTATAATCTCCTACTAGTTCAGGAGACAGGAGGCCAGAGGACACAAGATTTATGACTTCCTCGATTGCTCCTATTGTAGAGCCTACAGTATTCTTTTGAAATTTTTTGAGGCTTTTGCATTCTGGCAACAAACTGACTCTACTTGGACACATGCTTCAAGACTCAAGTGGTCCTGTGGCCTGCACCTGAGAGCAGACTCAATGAAGGAGGACAGTTTTCCACAACCTTACAATTTTATTCCCCAACCAATCAGCAGAATTTATTCCCTAGTCCCTTGCCCACTAAATTATTGATAAAACCCTAGCCTCTAAGTTTTCAGGGAGACTGATTTGAATAATAACTCCAGTCCTTCCACTTGGCCTGTATTAATTAGATTTGTTCTTTACTGCAATACCATAATTTCAGTGAAGCAGTTTTGTCTGTGCAGCAGGCTAGAAGAACACATTGGACAATTACACAGGCATTTAACTAAACTCACTAAATGTAAGTTCATGTACAATATTTACAATAACAAAATAACCTTTTGTTTTTTTAGACAGTCTCATTCTGTCACCCAGGCTTGAATGCAGTGATGTGATCTTGGCTCACTGTAACCTCTGCCTCTCAGACTCAAGTGATGCTCATGCCTCAGCCTCCTGAGTAGCTGGAATTACAGGCATGTAATTCCACCCAGCAAAATTTTGTAATTTCTTTTTGTAGAGACAGAGTTTTACCATGTTGGCCAGACGAGTCTCAAACTCCTGGACTCAGGTGATCCTTGGCCTCCCAAAGTGCTGAGATTACAGGTGTGAGCCACCACATCCAGCCTGCAAAAACCTTTATAAGAAGTTACTATTCTTCTTTGAAAGGTGAGGAAACTGAGGACAAATGCAACTTATAAGTAGCAAAGATGGGGTTCATATTAGGGTGGTTTGACTCCAAAGCCAGGGGCTATGCATTGAACCATGGTGACCTCAGTGGTCTACATTTTTCATCAATTCCATTAATTGGAGAGAGGCCAAGACAGACATCATCCAAAATTTGGGCCAATATTCTAAATGCCCACATTTATATTTCCACCTGCAGTGAGGTCAGAGATTCCCCAAAACAGCCCTTTTCTTGGCCTGCCAAGAGGCCCCCAAATCTTTCTCTTACTTGTAAGCCTCTTATGGTTAGTTCATCTCATTAACGTATTTGCTAGTTAATGCCATTACTCTTATTGAGGTTTTTGAAATATTTCACTGATAAAAATTTAGAGTTCTGGCCAGGCAGTGGCTTATGCCAGTAATCCCAGCACTTTGGGAGGCTGAAGTGGGCAGATCACCTGAAGTTGGGAGTTCAAGACCAGCCTGACCAACATGGAGAAACCCCATCTCTACTA